TCATATAGAGAAGTATAGCCTCAGTAATGTAATTCTAAATCAGCAGTAACAGAAGTCATACCTTTTTCCCTTCTCTCTGATGGAGTGGCTGCTGAGCATGCTGGGCAGAGACCATGGAATTAGTGCTCTACGAAATCCCCAGTTCAGAATGGATTGTCCTGAGGTGAATGCCTATAAAAAAATTCAGCTATTTAGGTTCCTCAAATTTTGGCAATGAGCATGAAATTTTGGTATCTCACTTAAAATGAAGAGGGTGTGACTGAAGTACAAATGCATGCGTGCATTTTTACAGACAAAAGGAGACTCAGGAGGAAATTTCCTTTGTTTTCAAGAACTTAGAGGGTGTTTAAATGAAAGAGACTTGGGCCTTATTTAGAATTATGGGTTGTCCCTGGCTGTTCTACAATTTCTCCTGTGGGTCTGCAACAAAAACATAGCAAATGGTTACCTGTGCTGAGTAATGTGACCCTTGCTTGCCCTTCCAGCCCAAGTTGTCACCAAGGTCCCCTAGACACTGTTATTTGTTTACCTGGAACTTCTTTCAGCTCCTCCATGCTTGCCTTCTTCTATCACCTTTGCGTGGGTCACACATACCTTTAAATGCAGGCTAGTCACTGCTACCCTCACAAGTATGTCCTTCCTGAAATATCTCTATTACATGGGGAGCTGCAGGCTGCCAAGCAGACTCCTCACTTTATATACATATTGATTAATTTGTTTATCAGCATTCAGCAAATATTCACAGAGCGTCTACCATGTATGACTCTAACGTAGCTTCAGGCCCTGGCCTTGGTGTCCCTTGTTCTGTCCCTCAACACATGTGTTCCCACTCTGACATTACAGCAGTGTGGTCCTGCGTTTCATTGTTTATAAGTTTGTCTACAAAGCCACCCCCACCTGAACTGAGAGCTGCACAAGGACAAAGACTGGGACCATGTGGCCCACGATTGCTTCCGGGGTGTCTAGCACAGTGGCTAACATACACAGCATTGTCAACACAGCCTTATTGAATAATTATAGATAAATAAATGTATACATGAATGTGTTGAGCTTACTGCCAGCTGGAGTGTTTTCCCAGATGGTGGATCTGTCACTAACAGGGAATCTTACAGAAAAGGTGTTTTTTGGGGGACAGTATACAAAACCTGTTACCTTGTATATATTGATGTACTTAGTTCACTTTCCCATTTGACTGTGAGCTCCCTGGAACAGGAAGACTTCTGTTTGTCATCGAAATCCTACAGAATAAGTGTACAATCAGTGTTTGAGGGATGTACAAAAAGTATTTTCTGAGAACAAGCTGTTTATAGAACAAGAATGCTGAAGCAATAAAGAAAAAGTGGCAATAATGTAATCCACTTGTTTTGCCAAGCCACCAAGGATACCTTGGTAAATATTAGTTAATGTGTAGCCTTTTGTTTGCTATTAAGATTTACTGATTTCAATAGAATGGGACCTAAAAACCGAACACATTGTATAACAATCAGACACCAGGGACAATCTCTAACCATGCAATAGTTTATAAAATACACATCAGCTCTGTCCGTGGTTAGATTAAATGCCATTATCTAAGCAAAGTGGGATATGTGCAATAATAGGTCTCCCTGTGAGTGATGGGTTTGGTTAGTGGATGAATTTATCCTCTACCCTTGCATTGTCCCCATATAATTCTTCTTACTCTGTGAAGAAATAAATCAATAGCATTGGCTAATCCAGTGCATGTGAAAAGCACCTTCAGTAAATGCCAGCTCTTCCTGAATAAATCCAACAATAAAGCTTCCTTTAAATCTCAGTTTCTTACATAACAGTGACACTTATACAGAGGGATTAATGTGGTATCTTGTTTCTTTCTGATGTGATCTTACTTTCATCTTGCAAACATGTCCCTATCTGTATTTGTGTAATTGCCGGTAGCTTGGAAAATTCAGCATCCCAGTGTGTTTTGGAAAATAAGCTGGGAGATGGATGATAACTAATTGTTTCTGGCCAAAAGTTATGTGGCATGACTTAGGGGAACGGCAAGAGAGCTCTAGAGCGTGGCAAAGGAAAGGAGGGCAATACTGGAATCCAACCCACGCCTGCTGCCCAGGGATCTGAGCTGGTGGTTTGTCATGTCTTAGCATGACGGTATTTAAGCCATGTGAGATTTGGAAAAATATATATACCTAGCCCAGGCTTAGTCTGAGAACACTTGCTTTGGTTTAAGCCACACAACTGCACTATTGAATTAAGTGTTTTCAAGTTAATACAAATTAGCATCAGTCCACTGGCAGAAGCCTAAGATAAATTAGACTGGGTCTCAAAGACCTGCATCTGGACCAGCTCCCAACGCCACCATTTCCTTGCTTTTCCCAGCCATGGATGCCTCCGGCCAGAATATGTTTAGGAAGCTGGTAAGTGCAGACAATCTGGGGAAAGCATTATAAGCCGCTGATTGCTTTTGTTTCATCTGTTCATAAGGCCAGCCAGATGTTTTATTATTAATGTAGTTATGGAAACCCAAACTCCTCCAAGAAATACATCAGGGGGTACTTCCTCATTTTACGGAAATAATCTTTGAAAGTGGAACAAATCTCAGAGAGGCTGGAGAAGGGTGGTGGTTTAGAAGCCATCTCTGGAATTGAAATGTAGGACAAAAAAAATGTGGATTCTGTTGATAAATGTTGTCTTAGAATTGAGTATTTAAGGTGAGATCCACTCTGTAAAGAGCCTGGTAAATACTGTGAGCTTCCATGCACATGGAAGAGGGAGTCAGTGTCCAGAACTGTAGGCCAGGTTATAGGACCTGTGTGCAAGGCACAGAGTGGGGCTGGGGAGAAGAAACTGTTTTCCCCTGTATGCCTCCCTGGGACACCCCCTAACCCTCTTTGAAGATCTGAGGTTCCTGAGGGTTGGGCAGGGCCTCTGAGTGTGTGAAGGCCTGTTTGCTCTCTTGGTAGCACCTTTTTTGTATCTTTAGAATCTGTCCTTTACATTTCAAATCACCGTGGTTGTGGTTTTCTTTTCACCACTTCTACTTGGGTTGGCTTTTTGTGTTTTTACCTGGGTTAAGGCCTTGAGCAAGACACCGTGGAATATCACTTTTGTTTAAAATGTGTCACTAAGTTGGTTTCGCTTCCTAGTTTTTATGAATAAACACATTTTGGGAGGGGGATTTTGCAATCTATTTTAAAAACATATTTGCATTTAATGAAAAATGCCACGAAGACATCACAAACCATGGTGGACACACCTTGATTTTCTTTGATCCAGGAGAAGAGATAGTCTACTGTTTGTGACCCTTGAGTTTCACCATTGTTCATTATTTAGGGAAAAGTCCCTTCCCTCTTTTGCTGTAAAATGGAAGACACAAAAAAAGTCATTGGTAAGAAACCATTGAGCAGATCATATTTTCAACATTCAGTAAATTGTTCCACTTATATTTTTGGAGAAAGTAGTAAGTGCTAATAGATCATGCCAGCATCTGGGATCTAGGAATGAATGAAAACATGGTTTGACCTTGATAGAGCAATGTTCAGCGGTCACTAGCTCTGGAGCAAGGAAGAGGGTGTGAGGTATGAGAATGACCCTCATGCTTTCCTTTTGGAAACATTGGTGAACCATGGAGAGACAGAAGGAACAGGTTTGCAGATACACAGAGAAGGCCTCTGACATTCATTGTCTGGTATGTTCTGAACTCTGTTCCAAATAGTCACTTTTAAAAAACAAATTTGACCAATTCTGTACTCATCATAATGTGTGTTAGGGAAATCTGACTCTAGAATGGACACAGCATTGTAGAAGTTTCCCTGAACTGGAGGTAAGAAGCTTTACATTCCAGCTCTACCCTGCCACTGGTTAGATATTTGACTTAGGATAAGTCATTTAAGCTTTCTGAGTGTCAATTTCCTTTATTAACAAGTAAGTATAGGAGTGATTTTTATCGAATCTTGTTTCTAAAAACCGTATGTCTGCCAGGGCCTTAAAAGCCATTATGTAAATTACCAGTAAAGTATAACATATGCAAACATAACAAAATCACTTTCATAGTGACAATACTCCAACCATATGGATATTAGTCATAGAAAACTAGAGGGTTTATGATTTTTTAAGTCTTTTTTTTTGGTCTAGGTAGTTAGTCTGCACTTAAATATCAACCACTCCTATTTTTTTTTGTTGTTTCTTCCCTTAAAATTTATATGTATCCAATAAACTTCATTGAGAAATGTATGTTTTTTATTATGCTGTATTTTCTTTTTATGTTTTAATTATTGTTTATATTTTCAATTAAAAATGTACAAAATAAAGTTACAATGCTGGTCTTGTAAGAGCTATACAATTTTCTTAAATGTATACCTATAACTGCAGCAGTCCACCTATTTCAAAAATTTGGAGTTCTGTTCATTTGTTATCTTTAAGACCACCTCAAATTTAAAGGCTACCTTATTGTACATTTAAAGTGTATTATAACAGTGTGGTAGTTAATAAAACACTATTTTTTTCCTTTAAAAAAAACCAAAAAACAAGTATACAAGACGATTTAGATAGTATGTTGATGATTTTTTTTCCAGTTATTTATTTTTATATATCACAAAAATATAAACATTCTTTCAGGCTTACGACTTCATAGAAATTATTGCTTATCAGAAGGCTAACTTTATTAAAGAAAAAAGGGGGTAATTTGAAGAATAACATCAAATAAAAGCATAGGCCATAATTATTTCTTAAAACTAATTATGACCAAACATTTTTAAGATGTGTCATTGACTAGGATCAGGAGATATCTGAGTATATGATCTCGTGGTGTGTAACCATTTTTACCTTTGTTGTTAGTTTTATATTTACACCTTCTTGGAGAAAGTTTCTATTGGAAATAGCTTCCAAGTGCTTGCCCAAGTATTCAATGAGCCAGGCAGTTTGAATGATCATTTCATATGTAGTTAGGTCTGTATATTAGTCACCAGGCTTGCTGCTGCTATAGACATCATCTTATTTTTGTTGTTTCTCTGATATGTTTTCAGATCAAGGTGTTGACAGAAAGGATGTTCAAACATCTTCGGAAATGGTTTGTCACTCACTTTTCTGGGCGTTCTCGGCAGAGAGCAAGGCTAGTCTCCAAAGATGGAAGATGCAACATAGAATTTGGCAATGTGGATGTACAGTCAAGATTTATATTTTTTGTGGACATCTGGACAACTGTGCTTGACCTCAAATGGAGATACAAAATGACCATTTTCATCTCAGCCTTCTTAGGGAGCTGGTTCCTCTTTGGTCTCCTGTGGTACGTGGTGGCCTACATTCACAAAGACCTCCCAGAGTTCCATCCTCCTGACAATCATACCCCCTGTGTAGAGAACATTAATGGCATGACCTCAGCTTTTCTATTTTCTCTGGAAACTCAAGTGACCATTGGATATGGATTCAGGTGTGTGACGGAACAATGTGCCACTGCCATTTTTCTACTAGTATTCCAGTCTATTCTTGGAGTTGTCATCAATTCTTTCATGTGTGGTGCCATCTTAGCCAAAATCTCCAGACCCAAAAAACGTGCCAAGACCATTACATTCAGCAAGAATGCAGTGATTAGCAAGCGGGGTGGGAAGCTCTGTCTTCTAATCCGAGTGGCTAATCTTAGGAAGAGCCTCCTCATTGGAGGTCACATATATGGAAAACTTCTGAAGACCACAGTCACTCCAGAAGGAGAAACCATTATTTTGGACCAGACCAATATCAACTTCGTAGTTGATGCTGGCAATGAAAATTTATTCTTCATCTCCCCATTGACAATTTACCACATCATTGATCACAATAGTCCCTTCTTCCACATGGCAGCAGAAACCCTTTCCCAACAAGAGTTTGAGTTAGTGGTATTTTTAGATGGCACAGTGGAGTCAACTAGTGCTACCTGCCAAGTCCGCACATCTTATGTTCCAGAGGAGGTGCTTTGGGGCTACCGTTTTGTTCCCATAGTCTCCAAGACCAAGGATGGGAAATACCGAGTAGACTTCCATAACTTTAGTAAGACAGTGCAAGTGGAGACCCCTCACTGTGCCATGTGTCTTTATAATGAGAAAGATGCTAGGGTCAGGACAAAGATAGGCTATGACAACCCCAACTTTGTCTTGTCCGAAGTCAGTGAAACAGATGACACCAAAATGTAGCAGTGGCTTTCACCATGAATGAAACGAAGTTGTCTAGGTACCCAGTGACTTCAGCATTATGAAGCAATTAACAGTTTGAGGTTACAAACACAAGACAAGAGCCATCAAGGTCTACCAGCACAATGACCCCTACAAGATACATGACTCTGAAAGACTACTGTGTTAGCACACATGATGCATTTATATGAAACTGCACATGAAAGCCACAGGAGTTCACTTGGAATTTTGAATATGATTATTTTAGGTCATTCAGTGTTCATGAGAAGAGATGAAATCATCAGGAATCTCATGGACAGGCCAAAGGAGATACTTGTTTGTTTTTCTTAAATCTCCTTGAAGGGGTTAGAAGCTTTAAATAGGATCAAGAAACAACCATATTTTCATTTTGATTCTGACAGGAAAAATGTCATTTTCATTTTAACACTGAGTTTATCAATGGAAAAGCTGTCTCCTGTGTTGGCGGAGATGAGCTAATAAACCAATGACAATAAGAAGAGCTTGTTACACAATGAATAACTTGAGGAGTTAACCCTCTTGAGCTCTGGTCATTAGAGCCTTCATCTAGGATCATGTGTGATTCGCAAGGAAGAAGGAAAAGCACAGTCCAGGGACTCTGCAGGATGCAAACGTGCTTTGCTTTATGGCTTATGCAGATGCAGCACCCCACATTGGGCTTTGGCCCAAATGTTCTCATGTGGTACATTTAGACAAAGGTTAGATCTATACTCGAGAATCTTGATGAACTATTTCTTGCCAAATAGAATGCTTGAGTTGAAAATGGTGGTGATAGTTCTTTCAATCTGCATTAGATGGGTTAAGGAGCTACAGATCTGTTAAGAGTATTTCCTGCTCATTCACGATGGTAGTGAGGATTCTGAGAATGCAGTCAGTCTGAAAGGCTATGGCATGCTAATGGTTAAAGTTTCTCATGTTTCTCTGCCTTCAATTTGCACTGAAAAGGTATCTGAAGAAGTGGAAAGGGGAAAACAATAAGATGTGGTCTCACAGTCTGGACATTTTGAGACCTTTGTGTCTCTATAAACCATCCCCACATTTCCTAAAAGGGACCAACCTAATGGAAGGATTGCCCCTTAGGGGAAGGTTTTAATGTGAATGCATTATGTTGTTCCCCACATGAATTATTTTGAATGTATCCTGGAAAAAATGGAAATCAAACCTGCTTGTTATTCAAGATGATTCAATATGTTGATTAATTTATTAAATTCCTGAAACTAATGTCTGTTTTTATGCATCAAATGTGATAGGGCAACTGGGAAAAATACTCTTGCCTAGGGTGGACTTTCTCCGGCAAGGGGCACAACTGGTGGGAAGGCAGCAGGCAGATCGGATGCACTTGTTGTCTTGACTCCCTGCAGGAAGTGAGCTTGGCTGAAGACACACCCCTTATGGTACAGCTCCATCAAGCTGTCCAGTGTGAGTCTTGGCACATATAGCAGCAGCTGCTGGCAGGTGTTGGTATGGATGTCTTTTTCTGGGTTTGGACTGGAGTTTGTACAGATCCATACATACACTCCTTTCCTTCTGAATCAGACCAGTGGGAACTCTGATGGGTCTAAGGTTGTACACTTTGTCAGTGGCCAAAGCAGAGGACACAACTGGGTGCTGTGGGAGATTACCCCTGCCTGAGAGTGTTTTGACACCAGAACTTACTCTGTTGATAAAGCTAAAAAAAAATCAGGTACCATATGCTTGAAGAAGTTGGAATTCTCTGCTGGCCCATTATCAAGGGGTTTCATGCCCCTGTATCCCTTTATAAACTAGAGGGGCAATATATTGCCTAAGGTCCTTCACATCTGAGCTCATTCCTCTATCTTCCCTGTTCCCTAGCAGCAGGCTTGGGGATAGGTGGAAGGACAATGCTCAGAAGCAAACCAGTCTCTTTGATTGTTAAGGGAGATGAATGACTGGAATCTTTCTGATTGGTATTTGATTATGGATTATTCCATGGAGAGCTTGTCTGCTTCCGAATATTCCTTTATTAGGATCAAAGTACTCCATGATTGTATTGAAGCCTCCCTTTTAATACCCATTCCCACTGAACATTTAGCAACCATTAAGTACATCCAATAAAACCCTTAGGAAATGAACCTGGGGAAGGTAACTTTTGATAATTCTAAAGGGAACCCAAAAGCAGCACAAGAAGCTCTGGGGATTTGGAGAGAAGGGATTACAAGGGCACGGGAACTCAGTGAGTAAAGAAAACAGGTGAGAACCAGAAATCATCAGAAGGCCAACTTACCTCTAGGTTAGACTAAAGCTAGTGGTTGCCTTTTTTTTCCCATACAGTAACATTTTTTCCCAAGTAAAACTTGATCACACCAGTACTATTATTAGCTATAGGTATATTATATTGTTGTATTTATTAATTGTCCATTTCAAAAGTAATTCTCTTTTTCTTATTCTCTTTAAAAAACTGCATCCCTCAATGCATTATTGTACTCACAATTTTCCTTAGTACTGCTTCCCCTTGAATTACCCAATCTGTCTCTGTTGTTATGGAGAGTTTTGACTTAGAGAGTCTGACCCAGTGTAGCCTTCCTGGACCTTGGTTGACTCAAAGGCCAATATTTAGAGTGAAGATTTGGGAAATTGTCTTTAATAAGGGCAGAAGGAAAAGAGTCGTTGAGTAGCCAAATGGAAGAAGTGAGGAGGTCAGAGTATCTGTTTCCATTTTGACAGCGGACCTTAAGAGAAATCTTCCCAAGTGGATTGCAGGCACAGTGGAAACGTGCATCGTTCTTAGAGAGATTCATAAAACAAGAGATGAGTCCTCAACAGGATCTTCTGTGCATGCCACAGGGAATCTTCCCTTGTCTAGCACAAACTTAGTTAAAGCTCTGATGGGAGGAATGTAAATGAACCCTTGGTCCCACCCCTGGGCCGTTGCTTTCTGCCATTACAGGAAGTGTGTGTCAATCAAAGCTTGACAGGGGAGATAGAGCATTTTATTTTGGAAGCCAGAAGTTTGAGAACAATGACTGGAATTTCCTCTTTCTGTCCAGCAAGGGCTGTTTGTCACTGGGGAGATAAAAGTCCAGGGGTAGGGAATAAAGGTTATCAGGATCTGCGCAATGCAGAACCATGTGTGGGGGGGAACGATAGGAGGAGGGGTTATGGAGGAAATCTATTTCAATGCCTGTCATTAAAAGTTTCCATTAAAAGAACATTCAGTTAGAAATTCAAAAATAATTTAATCTCCCCAACCAGATGAGCCCAGCTGGACTCTTTGGAGCAAAGCCTTGTAGAGGGGAAGATCTTGCACCACCAGGGCAGGGGACTGGGAGTGTTTCCACCCAGTGCATCCCTGCCTGTGATGGGTGTCCTGGAAGCCACCACATCTTTCTGGAGAATGAGAAACCCCAAGCCTTGTGACATGGGAGGAGAAACTTACAGTGCAGGGTTATTTGCAAAGGCTTTACTATGTTTTAAGTTCTCTTTTAAATATTTCATATACATTCTCTCATTTAAATTTCCCAACAATCCTATGAGGTCAGTACAATTATTACACCTATTTTTCACATGAGCCAGCTGAAATAAGCAACTTGTCCAGAGTTCTGAGCTGGTAAATGGCAGGGCTCAATCCCATGCCAGTCTTCCTCGAAAGCTTGTGAGTTTAAAATCACTTCAGTCTACATCCTACAAGGGGTCGTACTGTGACAGGACCTACGGAGGCCATCTGTCACCTGGGCCCTGGGAAGGGGGCATGCTCCTGGCCTGCTCTCACCGTTTGGGAAAAACCATTCATTGCTTAGCACAGGGAGAAGCTCTGGCCAGGGTTAATCAACACTCTGGAATTACAGTTCTAGAAAAAGTCAGTGTTTTTCCAGGGGTTCTGAACAACCCTGCCCAATGTGTCTCTAGAAGTAAATCATGGGCACCTTGAAGATCTGCCTGACCTGTTGGTGAAACCAATCATCTCAATACTAATAACATTTTGAATACTACGTATATATAAAGTGTGATTGAAATATACAGTGAATGTTTAAATAAAAAAGGACACTAAAAGACACATTGGCATTAATCCCCCTAAAATACTCCCAGTTGTTTTGAACACATTTATCTCATCATTCTTGCCACTCTCTGAAGCAGTTCTGAGTCCTCCTTTATGAGTGTATGTATGAAATGTGATAAAAAATACAGTGAGTACTGCTGCTGAGTGCCATCCAACGGGAAGACAGGCTCATAAAAACATTACAGTGTGTCCTCATCCACTTCATTAACCAGATCTGGCACTGTGCAGCTTCTTACTTTTCACCAAAGTCAAAAGCGTGTAAGGTTTTTATAGATGGAGAAATGGAACCTCAGTTGTCCTTGATTAGCAGGATCTGTATTCACCTCTGTATTTCTCAGATCAGCAAACTTCATGCAGTCAGTAAATGGTTCTTGAATGAATGAGTAAATGAAAGAATGATTTTCTCAGGACTGCATGGCTAATTATAGATTTGAACTTATATCTGTCCAATGAGATTTTGCAAGTTATATCATTTAGCAGCAGAGGGATCTTGACAGGCAACTTGACTTTGTTGAGTCTGTTTCCTTATTTGTTAACTGGACTTTCAAAATAAAGTTGAGGGGAGAATTGAGTGAATAAGAATGGGAAAGTCTTTGTAGAAAGTAAATGGCCACCAACAAGGGCAGGAACAATTGGATTGAACCCCAAGTGCTGCAGGGGAAGGGGCTGATCCTCAGGCAGACCCCACATCGTGTCTTGCTAGGTGAAGAAAGCACAGCACAGGGCTGTGCCCTGGCAGAGATCCGAGGAATAAAAAGACAGCACCTTAGGGGTCCACTGAGGTGGAAGGAGCTATGAACTGGGAATTAGAGGAGAATCTTGACACTAAGAGTTCATTTCAATCCAACAAATACTCATCCCGGGCTCACTGTGAGCCAGGCACTGGGAATGCCCCCCGAGGAAGGACAGTAATTCATCTGCAATGAAGGATGCAGGGGCTTTAACCATTGGAAGGACCAGTACTAGCTTGCAAAATTGCTTATTGTGCAGAAAGTCATTTTTTTGCCTTCAATAATGCATACTTACAATAATTTCAAAACCTGATTTTGACCTTACTGCTAACAATAAGAATATTGGTTGTTGTTTTTAAATTACTTCAGATTAAAAATTTGTTTATGATATATTCTGCTAGGGATACACCGTTGATGTATTGTTTTGTGTTTTTTTGGTACCAGGGATTGAACTTGGGACCTCGCACTTGGAAGGCAGGCAAGGCAAGCAAGGCCGGCAAGGTAGCACCACTGAGCTAAATCCCCAGCCCTGATGTATTATTTTTAAATCACTTGTAGTTCTTTTCTCAATGTGATTGTGTACCAGCTTGACAGTGAGGTTTGTTTCCTCTAATATCTTTCCAATTGTTAGAGTGTTTATTGGTTTTTTACTTAACTTTTCTTGTAATGATTATAAAAAGAATTTACATGATTTCAAAGTCATGAGATAGAATGTAGAAAACACTTCCTGTCTTCTGCCCTGTACTCTGTTCCTTTCTCCCTATGTAAAGCTAATCTTTCTTAGTACTTTTTTCCTAGAGCTGTTTTTGAAAATCTTACTTTATTTGTAATTGATAAATAATGATGGCATATATTTACAAGGTACGATATGATGTTATGATGCATGTATACATTGTGGGGTAATCAAATTAGGCTATATATACATCACCCCCAATATTTAGCATTCCTTTGTGATGAGAACATTCAAATTTCTCTCCTTTAGCTATTTTGAAATACATGTACAACATATCATTCTTTTTTTCCATTAAGTGTATTGGTACATTTTAGGTATAAAATACAGTTACATTCATCATTGGGATCTTGTACCTTTACATGAGTATCTTGGCTCTTATTTTTTCCCCCTTCCCCTGCCCTCCCTTCACCCCCTCCACTCTTCCCTATTTCCAAAGACTGTGTTTCCATTTTTTTCTGTTCTCATATTTTTCCTTTTCCCTTCTTTTCTTTCCCCTACCCCTCCCACTTCCCCTACTCCTTTAGACCTTTTCTTCCTATTACACAATATCAATTATACATTTTTAAAATTACAATATCAAGATCTAGGAGACATTACCACAGATTTTATAGAATTTAAAAGGATATAGAAAGCATATTACAAAAATCTGTTTTGAAATAAATTTGACAACTTTTAAGAAGTACCTTGGAAGACAAATTAATGAAACTAACTCTGGAGGAAATATAAAATTTGAATAGCA